TCTCTCTCTCTCTCTCTCTCTCTCTCTCTCTCTCTCTCTCTCCCTCTCTCTCTCTCTCCCTCTCCCTCTCTCTCTCTCCCTCTCCCTCTCTCTCTCTCTCTCTCTCTCTCTCTCTCTCTCTCTCTCTCTCTCTCTCTCTCTCTCTCTCTCTCTCTCTCTCTCTCTCTCTCTCTCTCTCTCTCTCTCTCTCTCTCTCTCTCTCTCTCTCTCTCTCTCTCTCTCTCTCTCTCTCTCTCTCTCTCATATTCTTCATCGGAGGGTTTTGTCTAAGGTTCATCACAATACCTTGACAACATTTTATTGCATAAGAGTGAACATGACAGTCTTTTTGTCTCTTCTGTAAAATTTTAAAAATTTGAGTAAGCAAGGTTCCTACGGAGCGCTGACGATATGGTATTTTCTGTTGAAGCACTATCAAAATTCATAAATGATAATGTCACGTATTGGGAAGTTTAACTTACTTATGTTAAATAAACCATATGGACCACAATATCTGGTGCATAAACACTGAAGAACCCACTTCACCAAAAGTTCCAAAAACTTTACGTTTTTTTCCCTTTCACCAAATTGCTGCATCTTTGATATAAAAAATAAAACTGACTTGGGCAATTTTGTTACATAGTCATGATGAATGTGTCTATAGCAACATGTTTATTTCAAAGAATTAGGGGGACAGCAAGGAGATTAAAAGTAATGGAGGATGCTCTGTGGGCGGCACCGCACGCCTGATAGGAGCCCTCTCTCGCGGCGGAACCGTGGGCTACCTGCGCTGCGCGATTGCCCGACTAAGGCACTGAAATCTAGATAAGAAAGAAGGTTTTATTCCGAGGTCCTTCAGATTAGGCAAGTCAATTAGTAAAAATGCCTTGCACCTGTGTTGTATTTAAGTGTAAGAACCGATATGATGCTGCAGTGGACCGAAGTTTTCACAGTTAAGTTGTTTCCCTTTTTAAAAATTTGAATGAAAGTATTTTTATGCCCCCAGCAACACAATTTAAATCATTAATATTCCTAAGAGGCTGGCCCCGGCGCTACATGTTAATGCCAACCCAGGCTGAAAGGTATACAACACTCCAGCAGAAAGACTGAGATACTCAATTTTTTTAAAGTATTCTTATTCATAAATATATATATATATATATATATATATATATATATATATATATATATATATATATATATATATATATAATTATTATGAGTATATATAATTATTATGTGTGTGTATGTATATACACATTATACATTTTAATTAAAGATATTGCTTTCCTTTGTGTGTGCAAATTGGATGCTACTGTAGTCTAAATGTAGATATCTAGAGGCTCCATTAGAACATGAAATCAATTCTCAACAACAATAATTATGAATATTTTCTATGTTAAAGAAACACCAAACCATATCAGAAGAGGGGAGAGGGTAGGGTGGGGTGGATAAGAGTTTGAGTCTTGTTAGATAGAACTATACTCGGTTTAATTCTATTGTTGTAGTCTTCACCTAAGATCCCACAATCACTAATTCCGGTTCACTTAAGATTCTGCTGTTAAAAAATAAACTAAACAAAGCAACAACAAATTTTTACTACACAAGAGTCATCACTAAGATAAATTATCCCCCTCTGGAGTGTAATAAGGGACTAAAAACGCTGCTCTCCATATCATACTTTACTGAACAAACAAAAAAACCCTTCAAAGGTTATCCACCCTCATGCATGCGATCACACCTCCAAGGGTGCTGTTATCTCTCTTTTTTCTTTTTTTTATATTTGAAATCATTGTGCGCTCCACTTTGTGAAAACCAAGAAACAAAATTATTGTGATCAATAATATTATTTATAGACCAAGACATACTATTAGCAATTAGATGAAGCAAACATCGACCCTCTTTTGTGTCCGCTATTCCTTACACATAAAGTTAGTTATGGCACATGCCTAGAATCATGCAATCATAATACCGGTATCTTAAATTTAGTTTAAAAGTATATTTTTATCCATTTCTTATAATTAAATATTTTAGCATCTTTAAAGATTATCTTTATAATTTGGTATGTTTGATAATTTTATGTTACTCGGACAAGTTTTCTTCTTATTTTACACATTTTTTAAATTTTTAAACTAGATTATAACATAAAACTCTTAAAGAATTGAACAGTCCGTATCACACACATCATTTTTTTTTCTCCCTGTCATTATCCGTCAGCCCGTCAGTTGATCACAATCTCTCTCTCTCTCTCTTTCTCTCTCTCTCTCTCTCTCTCTCTCTCTCTCTCTCTCTCTCTCTCTGTCTCTCTCTCTCTCTCTCTCTCTCTCTCTCTCTCTCTCTCTCTCTCTCTCTGTCTCTGTCTCTCTCTCTCTCTCTCTCTCTCTCTCTCTCTCTCTCTCTCTCTCTCTCTCTCTTTCTCTTTTATTTAATTTTTCCCATTCTCCTTCGTCCCTTCCCAAGGCCCGCCCCTCCTCTTTCATCCCAGCCCCATCCCCTCTTCCTTGCGTG